AAAAAAAAATTCGTATGTATATAAACTAGATTTGGAATAAATCGGTTATATATTTAAAATTGTGCTTCAAAAAAAAAATTGGACGTTACTTTTGATGCCGACTGTACATATCGTATATGAAAACTAACTTATTAAATAGACTGACACGAGTGCCATTCACAATCTCGTAAACGATACCAATGACCTTGTGAATGCGAAAGGGAACTTGTTTGAGTCAAAGTTGAAGGTCAGTACGTATGATAAGATTATCGCTCACGAGTCAGTATCAACTGATGAAGATCCAATAGCAAGTCCAACCGAATCTGCTAGAAAAAGAAAACACAGTGAGGAAGAATATGGATTAAAGACACCGCCACTCAGATCTCCAAATAAAGACGCTCTTATTCATACTCCGAATAAGCGTCAGATGTATAATGATGAAGTTATTCGGTGAGTCCATATATTCATAGTAAGCATCTAATTTAGAGCATATCCATCGATTACTTTATTCTATATTAGCTATCTTGATGCAATGGGACAGTCTTTGAAATACAACAAAGTTCACGTTCAGACACCGCCTATGTGGACCAAAATTGAGAGCTATCTTGAAAATGCTTTGAAGGTAAGTTCTCGTGGATATTAATTAGTAGCAGATTGGAACATATTTGATATTTTTCTGTTCATTTTACAGAAATCGGGAGAAAATTTTAAGGAGGCTATTATGCTAAAGATTGAGGGAGACGATGAGAACAAGCTTCGCCTATATTGCGAAAAGATATTGATGGATTTGTGAGTCTTTATCATTTACTGTACCTTTGATGAATAGATGCTTATTCCTACTTCTTGGCTCTAGTTACAACCTGGTAGATGTTTTTCCAACTCTTTCAAGAAAAATTGGAGAGAGAAAATATATCGTACAAAATCTATCTTCACTTTTTAAATTTTATGAAACAACATTCGGAAATATAACCATCGACTGGATTGAATCTCACTCCCTATCAGCAAAATTGACGAAATCACCCACCAGCTCCGGAATTGTTAAGTTGGATGCGAAGGGTAAACAATAAATGTTTTTAATAATTTCATTTTATAATATTTAACAATGGTCTCTTAAATACTGAAAGGGGTCCGATCGTTTGATGATAAAGAAATATGGCATATGGAGGTTGCTGGTTCACCATCATCACCAACAACAGATCATGCAGTTGGCGACACAAAGAAGTCATTGCATAGTGATATCTTAAATCTTGTTGCACTCTTGCTTGACCACTTGGATATTCCTGTAAAGACTGCGATGAATATAAAGGTGTTCAGTTTGCAAGCCATTGGTAGGTGTCTTTATTATTTTAAAAAGTGAGGACTTCAAGTTATTGATTTGCATTGTACTTGATCGTTAGGATATCGAATCACACTATATTCACTTAACGTAACGAATGATGGTTCCTTTTTGGCATCCGAACTAGCTTCTGCTATAATTCCCTTCTCATTTGAAGGTAGATCAAAATACAAAGCAGTTCTTTATCTCATGGTCCTTTTTCACGTAAGTAATTATGCAGGTGTATTTCACTTTTTTTTTCTATATCACTTAAGAGACTTTTTTCCAGGACGAGTTTATGAAATAACTTTCAATAATGCAAGAACTTGATTTTAGCATTAATGATGATAAAGAAGTTACGGTTCGGGATGTTTTAAAGATCCCTAAATCTTTACAGGAGTTTTTACAGCAATGACAATTAAATTAATAATAATCTATTTAGTTTAGCTTATGTAATTATCATATTGTTCATAATTTTTTTTGTTTCGTTTATAATAAAAAAAGCAAAGCTATTATATAATCAGAAGCATATTTTTACAGTGAAATCTTCCTTGAAACTGATTATGAGTGTGTATTTAAAGAGTGTGCACTTAAAGAATTTAGAGTTAGAATCATGTAATCATGTAATCATGTATTATATAATGTAATCATGTATTATATAATGTAATCATGTATTATATTGTTACTGTTAGTAACCTTTACAGATGAAGGTCTTTACTATACAGTAGAACACAAAGTTCTTTAATATATGAGTATTATTTTACCAAGAAGCAATCTAGCTTCACTAAGAATTTTTATTATTATTCAAGAAGAGAAAACACAAAGTAATCAATTCTTCTGATAAACACATAGTAAGTCAGTTATTATATTTATTAAAAGATAAAAGCAAAGAAACTTTATTAACACTAAGTTAATCAAAAATTATCTTTTCTTTCTAGCTAAAATACATACTGTTATGATATGAATATTTAGTTCTTATTTTATTGGTTAATTCATATCATAAATTTAATTGGATAATATTCTA